GTGAATTCGACAGAAAAGGATATGTTTTTCAAGGAGAGAAAAGTATCCTAAGAGTCATGAAGGGGTCGAAGGAAGTCTTGAGAGGCGTGAAGAAACAAGGCTTGTATACCCTTGAGGCTGAGGTTGTAAGTGGTTCGACAAATGTTGCATCCACGAAATCTATGTCGAAGACAGAATTATGGCACATGAGATTGGGCCATGTCAGCAAAAGAGGCCTGGTCAAATTGGGGAAGCAGAACCTGCTAGGAGGTGACAAAGTCGAAAAGTTGGAATTTTGTGAATCTTATGTATTTGGTAAATCCTGTAGGGCGAAGTTTAACAAAGGCAAGCAAAGAACACATGGATCTCTGGATTACATTCATGTTGATCTTTGGGGGCCTGCAAGGAATCCTTCACACTCAGGTGCAAGGTATTTTCTATCCATCGTTGATGACTATTCCAGAAAACTATGGGTATTCATTCAGAAGACGAAGGATGAAACTTTTGAGAATTTCAAAAGTTGGAAGATTCTAGTCGAAACTCAGACTGGCAGAAAGGTTAAGAGGTTGAGAACCGACAATGGCCTTGAATTCTGCAACAAAGCTTTCGACAGTTACTGTGTTGGGTCTGGGATTGCAAGGCATAAGACTGTAGCAGGTACTCCTCAACAAAATGGCTTAGCTAAGAGATTCAATCGAACAATCCTTGAAAGGGTTAGATGCATGTTGGTTAGTGCTGGATTGAAGAAGGTGTTTTGGGCGGAAGCTGTTTCGACAGCAGCTTACCTGATAAATAGATGTCCCTCGACTGCCTTGGGAATGAAGACACCTGAAGAAGTTTGGTCGGGACATCCACCTAGTCTCGACAGACTGAGAGTATTTGGCTGTGTGGCCTATGTTCATATTAGGCAAGACAAGGTCGAACCTAGAGCTCTGAAGTGCATGTTCATGGGATACCCTGAAGGAGTCAAAGCTTATAGGCTATGGTGCCTAGAGCCAGGTCACAGGAGGTGTATCACCAGTCGAGATGTAGTTTTCAACGAAGCAGAAATGGCTTTCAAGAAAACTGATGATGCTAACGAAGAGCTGGAACAGGGAGAGATTCCTGTTGAGGTGGAGCATGTTGATGCTGAATTGCTTACCCCAGATGAAGTCGAAGAAGACACAGAAGATGTTGTCGAAGATGAGGAGACTGATAATGACTACCTGCTAGCAAGAGACAGGTCGAGGAGAGTCATCAAGCCACCTCAGAGACTTGGGTATGCAGATCTTATAACTTATGTCTTAATCTCTGCAAGTGAGGTTCTAGACGAAGAACCTAGAGACTATAAGGAAGTTATGAGGAATCAAAAGAAGACAAATTGGTCTTTGATGTATGTTATGGTCTGTACTAGACCCGACATAGCATATGCAGTAAGTCTTGTAAGCAGGTACATGGCGAATCCTGGAAAGGCTCACTGACAAGCATTGAAGTGGATTTTAAGGTACATAAATGGGTCTCTAAATAGAGTCTTAATTTATGGTGGAGCCTTAGGTGAAGATAGTAAAGCAGCAATCGATGGATATGTCGACTCTGATTATGCAGGTTGTATGGATTCCAGAAAATCTATCTCTGGATATTTGTTCACTATGTTTGGGACAACAATCAGTTGAAAAGCAACACTTCAGAAGTTCGTTGCCCTATCAACCACTGAAGCGGAGTATATTTCCCTAATTGAAGCTGTGAAGGAAGCATTGTGGCTTGAAGGTTTTGCAAAGGAGCTAAAACTTCAAGGTCGAGTTATCACTGTTAAATGTGATAGTCAAAGCGCAATACACCTGTCGAAGAATTCAGCCTATCATGAGCGAACCAAGCACATTGATGTGAGGTTGCATTTCATTAGAGGGGTAATCGAGCGTGGAGAAGTCCAAGTGCTGAAAGTTTCGACAGATCATAATGCTGCTGATATGATCACCAAGACATTGCCCAGTTGCAAGTTTGTCCACTGTATGCAGTTAATAAATCTGCATGAAGAAAGCTAGTTTCTTGATGTTATAGAGTTATATCCAAGGTGGAGATTTGTGAGACATTGGATCGAACTTTAGTGTGGTCGAAGTCTGTTCGCAAGTAATGCGTGTTGTAGTCGAAGTTTGTTCTAACATGCATGAGTAAATATTGCTAAGGTTGTTAGCATGAGTAAATATTGCTAAGGTTGTTAGCATGAGTAAATATTGCTAGGGTTGTTAGCATGTGCTATTTTATTATAAATAGGATGCTAGTTTCTCAATCTTGGTATAAGGAAAAATAGGAAGATAAAATCCTAATTTCAAGGGAGAGAGGTTATTTTGTTATTCTTGTATACTTGTAATCTTGTTCAAAGAGAAAGGAAAGAATAACAGTTTAATAACCAATCCTTGTTATTTTACCTTGTTTTCTTTGTTAACCCTAACCCTTGTGAGTTTCTTGATCATTAAGAAACCGTTTATACTTTGTTTAAAGGTATCCGATTCACAAAAATAACCAAGAACATCAACAATATTCAACAATCACATATATGATACCGATGAAAAAAATTACAACGATGCATCATTCTAACATCAATCAAAACATCAACATCATACGCAATCCATCAAGAATTCATTATACCACAAACAACATCAACAACATACAACAATCACTTATATGAATCCAACAACAGAATTTGCAACGATACATCATTCTATCATCTATCACAACATCATCAATCATTCACAATTCATCAAGAATTTCATCAACATACAATATCAATTCATCAAAATCATGAATAAAGAAAGAAACACAAAACCTACATGGTATAATCTACCCACCAATCATCATGTTATCCCTTAGATAATTAGAACCACACCTTTATCTTAGAGTTCTTGCAACAATTTCCTTTTCCTCAACAATGGAGTCTTCCCTCTTCTTCCTTGAGCCCTATCCTTTTTCTCCCTTTTCTCACTTTTTCTGTTTTCACGATCGGACAATCAACCCCTATCAATTTTCCCATTTATTATTATTATTATTATTATTATTATTATTATTATTATTATTATTATTATTATTATTATTATTATTATTATTATTATTATTATTATTATTATTATTATTAATTCTACAAATAAAATAGTAATAACAATATCCACTAATTATTTAAATTAATAATATTCAACTAATATTACTAATATTATTTAATTAGCCATTCTCACCACACCACCAAGTTCTACATAATTAGTCACACACCCCTCACCCTTAGAGTCTATAATTCTAAGGTCACTACCCTCTTACCACAGGGTACTCCAACATATAAAAAACACACATAATCACATACGTACACATAACATCATATAATTTTAACTACAAAAAATAATTAAAATAAAACGGGGCGTTACGTAGGTACTTTAAGTATCAATTGTGTTTTGATGTTTTACAATTCAATTATTGTTTCATTGGGTATTTGTAATTTGTATGTTATCGCAATTCATATGTAATTGTATTATTCTTTCCATTTGATTGTAATCGCTTCGGCTACTAAATTGTACCCTTAAGAATCGTTTATATTTCATGTTATATTCATTTGATCTTTGTTGAAAAATTTCTTTTTGAGCCTATGAAAGTTACTATTTCTGTTATTTCCACATGAGTAGTTTTTTAGAACATTTGAATTTTGATGATTTGGTATTTAATTTGAGTTTATGTGTTATATTTGATTTGAATCAATCACCCGTTGAAAATTGAAAAATCATTAAAAATCAAATAATTCAGATCAAAAATTAAACATGATAGTGTTAATGGTATCATTCAAACCTTTCAGAAAAAGGATAACATACTTCACATCTCTTTGTTTCTTGATTGTTGAATGTGCCCCACATGTGCAAATAGGTAGTATTCCATGAAACATGGCATATTGAGCAAGAACAAACTAAAATTTGTCAATGGCAAGATCACATCACCAATGGAAGCTGATCCTTTATTTGCTTCTTGGAAAAGATGCAACAACTTTGTACTTTCTTGGCTAGTTACATCTCTCTTGCCATAAATTGCACAAAGTACCATCTAAGAAACAGACAACATACTCCTTGATTCGCAATTGTTTTTGCAAACGGGATGGGTAACAAGGACATTGCCGCGGGTTTAGCTTGATTGATCAAAATTCTGATTCTTGTTTTTGCTAATTGTGGTTATTGTGGATGGAGTTGTTATTGGTATTGTTGTGTGAAGTGTTGTGGTTGGTATTGTTGTTAGAAGCTGATGAATCATCATGATCTCGAAGTTTCACCATTGATGACATTGATGAATGTAAAAAAAAAAAAACTCAATGAATGTATAAAATATCATGTGATACCACAATACTAATGAAGAATGTCAGCTCATTGAGTTTATTATTATTATTGAAAAGAGAAGTTTATATACAAAGGAAAATGCTTGGATCACAAACAATAGTTACTTGAATCACAAGTAATAGAACTAACAATCATAACTAAGTAGCTAACATAGCAGGCATAACTATCTGGGTAACAATCTAAAACAGTTAGTAAATCACTCTTCAATAATATATGGTTAAGCTTTTTAAATGAATCAGTATCTGTCAAAGAAAAGAATAAAGATCTTCGGGAAAAAAAAAACATTTTAACTTGAGAAAAAATGCATTGCCCATAAATGGTAAAAGAAAAAGATCTCTTGCTTTCTTCTATTTTTAAACTAAAAGACTAAAAAAGCTAACCTTTTGCGCCTCTATTTCATTTCGATTCAATCGTTAACGGCCCAAAGTTGATGTGTTTTTCTCTTCTTTATCTTATTCTCCCATGGAGTGCTTAATGCAACACATGCAAAATTTAAAAATAAAAAGTGCATCATTAAAATTTTGTAACATGCATTACTTATTCCAAACAAAAGCATAAAGCCGCAGCTTATGATTGAAGTTATTATCTAGTACAGGAACAAGACAAACTCATAAGCTCCACATAAAGAACAAATATAAGAACTGAATACAAAAAAAAATCAGGCTAGAAAAGCAATATTAATCAATATTCATCTCCTTCATCACCATCTTCACCTTCAGTAGCCTCTGCACCAACTTCCTCATAATCCTTCTCAAGGGCAGCAAGATCTTCACGAGCTTCAGAGAATTCACCCTCTTCCATCCCTTCACCAACATACCAATGAACAAATGCCCTCTTAGCATACATGAGGTCAAATTTATGATCAATGCGTGAGAAAACCTCGGCAACACTAGTGGAGTTGGAGATCATGCACACAGCCCTCTGCACCTTGGCAAGATCACCCCCTGGAACAACAGTTGGAGGCTGATAATTGATTCCGCACTTGAATCCAGTAGGGCACCAATCAACAAATTGAATAGTGCGCTTGGTCTTGATAGTTGCCACAGCTGCATTAACATCTTTAGGCACCACATCACCTCTGTACATAAGACAGCAAGCCATGTATTTGCCATGGCGTGGATCACACTTCGCCATCATAGATGATGGCTCGAATGCGCTGTTTGTGATTTCAGCAACAGATAGCTGCTCATGGTATGCTTTCGCAGCTGAAATCACAGGAGCATAGGAAGAAAGCATGAAGTGAATCCTAGGGTATGGCACCAGGTTAGTCTGGAATTCAGTAACATCAACATTCAAGGCACCATCAAATCTCAAGGAAGCAGTTAGTGATGATATCACCTGAAAATACCAGCAAGATGTCAAAAGGGGGCACAACACAGCACATATGCGGTTATATACTACGTTGCAATTTGATTCAATTTTAACAATATAAACATTTCTTACTAGGACTTGATTCTTGCTATTGACATTCAGGGTACATACAAATTGCACAATCACGATTTAGAGAACGCTGAGTGAAACTATGTTTTCATTAATAATAACATATATACCTGAGAAACTAAACGATTGAGGTTAGTATAGGTGGGTCGCTCAATGTCAAGAGAGCGCCTGCAAATATCATATATGGCTTCATTGTCAAGCAAGACAGCCACATCAGTGTGTTCGAGAAGGGAATGAGTGGAGAGGACACTATTGTAAGGCTCAACAACAGAGGTTGAAACTTGAGGGGAAGGATAAACAGTGAATCCAAGCTTGGATTTCTTGCCATAGTCCACTGAAAGACGTTCCAGGAGAAGGGAACCAAGACCAGAACCAGTGCCTCCGCCTACAGCATTGAAAACCAGAAAGCCTTGGAGACCAGTACAATTGTCTGCAAGCTTTCTGATACGGTCCAAGCATACATCAACAATTTCTTTTCCAACTGAGTTAATTGAAAACAAAACAACATTATTATAATTTGATATGATATTTTAACAAGGAAAAGATGTTGTATTTGAAATATATGATTATTTACTGGTGTAGTGTCCACGAGCAAAGTTGTTAGCTGCATCCTCCTTTCCACTAATCAGCTGTTCAGGATGGAATAGTTGGCGGTATGCCCCAGTCCTCACTTCATCAATCACAGTAGGCTCGAGATCCACAAAAACTGCGCGAGGTACATGCTTTCCAGCTCCAGTTTCACTGAAGAAGGTGTTGAAAGCATCGTCACCTCCACCTACGGTCGTATCGCTCAGCATCTGCCCATCAGGCTAATACACCACAGACAAGAAACGAAATTTAACTCCAAAGTATGTGTGACAATAACAAGAAGTAGAATGCACTACAAAGTACATTTCCAAATTACTGTTGGATTACACTGCAAATTTCTATATTACAGCAAAATGCGGGTAGCTACAGCTGCAATTGTCATTGTGATATATTTGCAAAGAACTCGAAAACATTTATAATACAACTGCAATTGATAACAGTCAACTGCAACACCATTCTTATCAATACTACACACCTATCACTTGGTTAGAAATTGTTCTTTTTGTTGTTATATAATTAATCAGGAAAAACAGGATTCAAAGAAAGAACAGGTTATAAAAGCTTTATACATCTTCACAAATTATATAAACAGGATTCATATTTGATCTTAAAATTACATAAAGAAACTACTATAGTAAATTGAATGACGAAACAAGATTATTCTAGAAAGTACTATCCATGTAAAAACCTAGGCTGTTTAACAATGTCTTGAAAGAAAAAAAAATGAATGAGCAAAAATGAAGACCTGGTAAATAATTTATACAAACAAAAGATACCGGTGTTGCATACTAATTTCGATCGTCACGGTGTGAATTAACCATAATTTCTTTTTATCAGGGTAGTTTTCCCGGTAATGCACTGGTTTTTCAGCATTACATATATATTTAGAATCGTAAATAATTTCAAAAAATGCAAAATCAATTACGAATCTCTCAAAGAATCAATGCCACATAGAATCCATCCACATTGTAGAATGCAAGAAAATAATGCCATAATTTGATGAAAAAAAAAAAGAACGAAAGCAAGAAGCCTATCGTGTTAAAGAGCGATGATCGGTTTGTTACCTGAATGCCATGTTCGAGGCAATAAAGCTCCCAACAAGCATTTCCGACCTGGATTCCAGCTTGACCGATATGGATCGAAATGCACTCTCTCATTTTCGCAGAAGATGAAAAAAAATGGAAGGGAATGAAAGATGGACGTTTATTAAGACGCCTCTTTTGTTTGTTGTTAATCTGTTTTGACGATTGATTGATAAGATCAGAGGGTGTTTCTTGGTTTCTTTGTATATTTATGTAGCACGATGGAGGGAGGAAATGGAAACGGTTTAGTTGCGGTTGCTTATTCGTTTTCTATTTCCAATAGAATGTTATTTTATTCTTAGATTTTTTTTTTAAAAAGCCGTACAGTATTCTCTACGAAATAAATCAATCGGTTATTAATTATTAATTAGATTACCATAATTTTTTCATTAATTCCCCACTTAGGCTAATAAAACAGCTATTTTTATTTTTTTTTTCATTTTTGTGTAATAATTACTTTAAAATAATTATTTAATTGTATTAAATAGAATGAGACTTCCAAAACCGACTTAAACTAAGGATGTAAAACAGGATTAGGATGGTTTCTACCTCTTCCAAATCTAAATCTTAAAACAATATTTTTTCCTTCAATTTTCATCAAGATGGAGAATTAAAATTCAAACTCGTCTCAAACGAATTCAGGTTGATTTCAGGTATCTTTGTCCCGCCATCATCCATTTAAAAAATTAGTTATTTATTTAAATCAAATTACATTACAAATAATAAAATAAAATTGATTTTTCGGTTGATCAGAACCTGAAGTGGGTCAGAGACTTCGTATGCAATGCTATAAATCAAGGAGGAGGGATTGTACCTACAAGGCACTCCAATGCTAAAGTAAGAATCGGAAGATGAGAAGGCAAATACAAAGTAAGTATTTCTTAAGATGATTTTTGAATACCTAACCCTCTCAAAGGAGAGGGTTATTATAATACCCCCAGCTCTTGGCCATTAGTCCCTATTTTCGGAGCGAGATATCCAAAAACTAGCCCTTGAGACGGGAAGATGTGCTCGGAACTAGTCGATACTTTGAGCAGGGGCGTGGTCGCGGGCAAGAGCGTCGTGGCCGTTCCTGGATGGTTGAACCGTGCGTGATGGGCAACCATGTGACGAAGGACAGCTGATCTTGGGGGTCAGCTGGCCAGCTCTCCTCGGCTGAGGGGCAGAGTAGAAAAATGCTTTCCCCTGTCCTTAAGTGGTATGACTTAGACTATTAGGTCGTTCTGGGTGCAGAAGTGGATTGAGTCATGCCTAGCCATTGGGTCAGTCCGGAACAAAAATAATCTTAAAAATTTTCATACATATATTTCAAATATTTCAAATAATAAATACAAATTAAAATATCAAAACTTAATCACATATTTAGTATTCTAAAGGCTTAAATTGTCTTTTTGTCCCTCCTTAATTTCCTACGAAAGATGCAATAGTGTTCAGAAATAAGTTTTTGCATTTAGTCCCCGTAAATTAGGGCTTTGTATAAGAAAAAAGAAACTGAAACTTGTATGTGGGAGGAGATGAAGGAAGGAATGGAGATGGCGAAATGCAAATTTCATGATCAAGTAACACAATCACATATCTGGAACTCAATCTCATATATTGTATCTTCTTTCTTCATTGTATCGGTGAGTTAGCTTTGTTCATTGTGTCTTCTTGAAACTTGCATGTTATGGAGTTCAGTTTAATTTTTCATTACAGGGGTAGATTTGATGGAATGTTTATTATATTACACAAGGGGAAATGAGCATGCAGTAGAAATAGATCCAGATAAGTGAAGCTTATTTGAGGCAACAAGTATTGTGAAAGATTTAACGGAGCTTGAGCATTCTAAGTATTGGTTATAGTGGTATAACAATGATGCTGATAGGTATAGTAGAACGGTTAGTGATACAAATGTTGATAAGGTATTGTCAATATGCCATGGAAATAAAATGTGTAATGCACATATATGTTGAGTATAAAGGTAAAGGCAATGCACAAGAAGCTGGTGTAGGTGATTTTCAAGAAGATGATGTTGATGGCGTTGAACAAAATAAAGTAGGCAATGATGTTGGTGGTGTAGAAAATGTTAAAATAGGTAATAATGTTGGTGGTGTTGAAAATTTTGAATTAAGTAATGTTGGTGGTATTGAATAAGTTGAAAAAGATACCGTTGGTGGTGTTGAACACGTTGAAGAAGGTAATGTTACAGGTGTTGAACAAGTTGAAGAAGCTATTGTTGGTGATGTTGAACAAGTTGAAGCATGTGATGTAATTGAGGATAGTGAGGACACTAAAGACAGTGACGATAATGAATTTGAAGCTGATGGTTTATCATTTGATGATAGTGAGGATGAGAGGGCTCTTGGGTTGAATGATAGTTTTGATGTTATTGAAAATCAAGATGAATAAAATAACAAAAGAGGTAGGATAAAAGTTGCAGCAAGAAAGCACAACTATACTCCAAAGAAAGTACCAATTGATGTTGATAATGTAGGATCATCTAGTGGTATGGATAATGAGATGAACATTAAATATGCTAGTGATGAGCTTGGTAGTGGTGACCCTGATGCTTCTGATGGAGAAAAGGAACCAAAATCTCCAAGGTTTAAGATGCAGGATTTGGACAAGATTTACAAATTCAAAGTCGGATTGGAGTTTGTATCACTTGTAGAATTTAAAGAAGCAATAACTAAATGGTCAATATTAAATGAGAGACAAATAAAGTATGTATAAAATGACAAAGTTAGAGTAAGGGTAATTTGCAAGGGCAAATGCGGCTTTTTAGCACTTGTAAGCAAAGTTAGGAATACGCACACATATAAAATGAAGAAATGAATTGGAACACACATGTGTGGTAGAGTATTGAATAATAGTTCTGCCACATCCAAGTGGGTTGCTAAAATTATGGCGGCTAGGATGGAATTTTCATATGGTGTTAAGATTCGTGATATTGTCTATGAGAATATAAGTAAATTTTCTATTGGTATAACTATGAGCATGGAATGGAAGGCCCAAAAAATTGAAAAATCTTTGATTGAAGGTGATGCAGTGAAACAATACTGTTGCACCCTAAAATTTGACCAACCGGGTCCCACATCTGATTTATGTTTCAACGCAGCTCGCATTCGCATTTACATACTGCATATAGTGCATTTCTGCAATCATGGTGATTTTATCGGGATTACAGCCCTGCTGTCGCATTTCAGGTGTTCCAGACCGGTTTAGATAATCAGAGGTTATTTTGTGGGAAGTCGCGTGCTTCCCGGGTATTTTCAGCTCGCGCTGTAGTTTTTGAGGACATTCATGTGTCCGGGTTTTATCGCTGGTTTCGCTCCGGTCTCGATCTCCTGTTTAATTGAATAAATTGCATTTTGTGGCTTTATTAGGGTTTATTGGTTTTTTCTACCATTTAAATAGATTTTAAATGCATTTTAGGATATAAATAATAGAGTTGTCCTTAGAAATTAAATAGATTTTTCATAGATTTGTTTTAATAGGTTTAATATAGAAATAATATAGATTTTCTTAATAGAATTTTAATAGATTTTAGAATATTAGGTTTTAATCTAGATATTATATAGGGCTTAATCTCCTTTTATTTTTAATAGGATTTTAATAGGGTTTAATATAGATTTTATTTTAGATAATATAGAATGGTTTTTAATAGTTTTTAGATATTGATTAATTGGAATTATTAGGTCTTAGTCATTTGATTAGCAGTTAATTAGGTTTAGTTTAATTAGTTTTTAATTGGGTTAATCTTTTTCTTAATTCAGATTTTTTTTTTGGGGTTTATTGTATTTTCGTGGGCCCAATTGGTGTGAAGGCCCAGTTCTGCAGAGTCCAAATCATTGCCAGCATGTTATATAAGTCCAGCACACGTGTTGGATGGAAAAGGAAGCCACGTTTTTCCTTCTCACGCAGACACTTCATTCTCCAATCTCTCTCACACTCTGCCACACCACCCTCCACGTGGCTGTCATGCATCTCCCCCCGTGACACCTGTCGTCACCCAACCTTCGCCGGAGCTCCACCGGTTGCATGGCCGGCGGCCATGCAACCACCGCACCAGAACTTCGCCGGACACCCTAACTACCTTCTAACCGTCGCCGGAGCCGCCGTAACGGTCACCGGAAAATCCCAATTCGCCGGAAAACTGGGAAAAAAAACTCAGAAAGCTTCATCATGTCTTCCGATCTTCATCCTTCTCCTCTCATCAATACTTTCAACCGATCATCATCTCCGATCATGATCATCATCATCGGTGTTCATCTCATCACCACCGAATTTGCCATTCTTTCTTCTGGATTCAACAATATCATCATCAACTTCAGCAACCCTTCAACAACCATCATCATCACCTTCGCCTTACGATCCATAGAACATCCTCCAAGATTCATCCGTTTTGCTTCTAGAAACTCTAAACATTCATAGGATTCTCCAACCGATCAACATCATCCAAGATCAGCATCCGTTCTTGAAGATCCTCCACCGTTCTATATATTTTTTCCAGTTTTCGTAAGAATCTTGTAGGTGTTCTTCGCTTGTTCTTCATTGAGTTTCCAGAATCCATCATCAAGTTCATCGTATTTTCCAGAAGTTCTTGAAGAACATTCATCCATCATTTTCCAGATCGTCAAGATTTCTCCGTCACAACAAGATCTTCAAGGCAACCGTTATCATCATCTAGATTCGCGAAGAACGTTCCTCAACGTGTGATCGTTTCCAGGTTCCTTCAACAACAACTTCCCTCAAGAACTTTCATGACTCCTACGGCGATTCACTGATCGTCAACAAGATCTTCAAACTTCCGTAAACTCGGAAGAGGCTCAACGATCCAGCTTCAGTCAGCATCCAGATTCAAGATCCAAGACGCTTTCGTCAAAGATCTTCAACGGCAACTGGCCTCCGTCTTCAAACTCTTTCAGCTTCAGATGAGGAACCTTGCTTGGGGTCGGTGAAGCAGGGATTTGAGAGAGAACGGAGGGAGCAAGAAGCAGAAGGAGGATTTTTGTTTGGGTCAGAGAAAGATGAAGGTGAGAACCAGGCGACGGCGCAAGGAGAGGGAGAGGCTAAACGGCGTTGGGTGGTGAACA